CCCCTGCGTCGGCCACCGCCCCTTGTTACGCATAATGCTCTGCCGGAGTCTGCCTGCGCTCGCACGCCGGCGTCAGCCCACAGCCTTCCGCTGTACTTAGGTTTATGTGATACCTGTTTAGCCAGTTGATTCGCCCCCGTGCGGGTGTTGATGAGGTGTATGGAGCCGGGCTCGCGGGGACGGCGACTGGCTCCTGACCTGACCTGACTGGCCTGACCCGACCTCGCTGCCTGGCCCGCCTCCGCGTTGTCCTGTAACTCTGTTATACAATCACTAATCTAGTGTTATTGCAACGTATATGCGCCAAGCCATAATGAATATATTGCAACGAATGATGCGGCTGTTTGTGCGAGGTGGACAACCAGTCCGCGCACATGAGCGTGTCGAATGTAGTTATGCGAAATGGATTCCAGCCTCAATTACAAGCCGTGTGCCCTGGTCGTCTCCACACGCATTCGAGAAACCGCAGGATACAATAAAGTGTTATAAAGAATGGAAGACCGGTCTGAACACAAAGCGTGATATGATCACAGACGTTGAAATTCGGCTCATCTCTGAGAAATTCACGAGCTTCGGTGCGCTGCAATACGAGGCGGAGCTTCGGTTGGGTTATTGCTTAGTGTTACTTGCAGCCTCTGGCACGGGTGTGGGACAGTTCATCATACCCACGTTCGCTAAGTGGAACGATTCCACACGAACAAGTAATGGGGCCGCACGGGCTGTACGTAACGCGGCAGTTGTGACATCTGCCCAAACGACCACTGTATGTCCGGCCAGACCGCACAATGTTCAGTGAACTGCGGTGACGCAGGTGTGGAACAGATACGCGTGAAACAAATTTCGTCCTGGGGTTAGGAAAGCCACGGACGACACAAGAACCCGGAGGTCTGCGCATTGTACTGGCAGGGACGCGGCCGGGAGCACATCGCAGGACTGGGGGTACATCCGTCACCATCGTGTCGATGGCGCGACACGGTGGCACCGGATGGGGAAAGCGCACGAACGGGCTCCAGCACAGTCCGAAATATTGACGCCCACCAGTGACAGAACTGGCCCCCGCCAGTGAATAACGCCACGTTCCAATGCATCGCGCCGCGTGACGGGAAGTGACACCATAAATAGAATTGACCCAGTCGTCAACTGAAACTTCCTCGGCGAAAGCGCGCAATTACCCGTCGTGATGTCCCTAGCCTGTGACGGCCACCCCACCGAAGGCGTCTGCGTATCTCCAGCGTAGGACGATTTACGTGGCAACGTAGTCTTTGATGAACCTCCGCTGTCAGCGCTGGCAAAAACGCGGTCATGTGGATGACAGAAGCTAGTACCGTAAGTGAGCCAGCGGCAGATTCTTCAGCAACTTCATTTGAAGACCTGAAGGCCCATCTCTTGCTCAGTTTTCAACCTCCAGCCTTTTGAACTGAGGTCGGCTACGCTGTTCGTCACGACCCAGGCCACATCATCCACACATCACACAACTGCTGCGAAGCGCCTCAGGGACGAATATGTATATTTATATATTAACAATGCATTATTTTCTTATTTACACAGTCGCTATCGATATCGATGGCGGCATATCTACCAAAACTATGTCTCACTAAAACGTTACCAAACGGCGCCGGCCTTGGCCGGGGGCCAATCGTCACACGCGGCGAGCGCTCGGCGTCCGCCCCCACCCTCACGCGCCGGCCGACGCGGCGCCACCCCCGACACGTGCACACTGCCGCGTCCGTCACAGGCGTGCCCAACGCACCCTGAAGCGCCCGTGCGCCGCGCTCCGCGTGCGCCGCATATCGGCGTCCGACGATTGTGACTTTGAGACGAGGCGTTAGGCGAACCAATCCCGACACGGGCGGCGGCGCGCCGCCGGCTCCTGCAGAGTGACGAGCCCCGCGCCGGTCCCGCTGTCGGGCCGCTGGCCGCGTCCTGCGGGGCCTGACGGGCGCGTCCCGCTGGCGGGCGTCCCACCGACCTTCGAGCTCACGCGAGACTCGACCGCGGGCAGGCGGCGGGGCGCGCCCGGCCGTCACGCGCTCTGCAGAGCCGGCGCCGGCCGCCGCCCTCCGGACCACGCGGTACGCGCCGGATCGGCGGCCGCCCCAAAAAGCGGGGGCGCGCACCAGCCGACGAGTCACAAAAACAGACGCCGCTGGCTCGTCGCGGCGCCGCTCCCGAGCTAGCCGACCGGCTGGCTGCCCCGAGCAGGGGCCCGGGCGTCATCCCTCGCTGCTGGCTGAGCCGGGGCGGCGGGCGACGCAGGCCCACACTCCGCCCCGGGCGTGGCGGCACGGGCGCACGCACGCCGCGCCACGCCGCTTTGTGCTGCACGTGATCACAGACGGGATCGGCCCGGCCGCCCGACCGGCCGCGCAGCGACGACAGCCGGCGTCTCGCCCGCCGGCGGCCGACCGCCAGATGTTGACCCCCTCGACCAGCTCCGCACCCCGGTGAACCGTGCTCGGTGCTACGGCCTCGCCAGCAGTGAAGTTAACAAGGTGCGCCCGGGACTGAACGTGTAACCCATGCGTCCACCTACTAGCGATGCCAGCAGTCGTAAATCGACACCAACAACAACAGCGCCGCATTATTACTAAGACGCCCGTTTCGATTGCATAGCACGTGACTCACACTCGCCACCGCCCGCAGGCGGCGGCCTCTGACACCGCCTCCGCGGCGAAGTTCCGCGCTCGTCCGCCAGGCAGCTCCACGGTCGCCGTCAGGGCCTCAGGCGTAGGACGAGCCGCCGCTCTCGTACAGTTTGTGGCCGAGTTGGACTTGCGTCGGCGGCGGGGGCGGAGCGGGGGGACGCTTGTTGCGGGGACGCTCTGAAAAGCGGGGGGAGGGGGGGGCGACGTCAGCCGGGCCGGACAAGGCGGGGGGGGGGGGGGAGGGGGGAGGGTCAGCACGCGGGACGCCCGGTTGACGGGGCGGCACAGAGCAGCGACGCGCCGATACGGCAGGGGGGGGGGGGGGTCAGCACGCGGGGACGCCCGGTGGCGGGGCGGCACAGAGCAGCGACGCACCTATACGGCGGGGGGGGGGGGGGGGGTCAGCACGCGGGACGCCCGGTGACGGGGCGGCACAGAGCAGCGACGCACCGATACGGCGGGGCGACAGCGCCGGGCAGTGAATGATCCGGCCGCGGTCTACGGCTTGGCGGCGCGTGGCAGTGCTGCAGACACGCGCCGCATGGCACAAGCGGACAGGACCGCCCACCGCACAGGCGGACAGGACCGCCCACCGCACCACGCACAACCGAAACATATGCTCACGGAGCACCCAGCTAGCTCAGCGCACTTTCTTTCCAATTATCCGTGCTGTACCAGGGACGCAGACTCGGGGCAATCACGGTATCCAACAACACGGTATGTCACCAAGCATCCACGATACACGGCGAGAACGTGCTGAACGAGAACGCCGTCATGCGGACCACTCGACAAATCCAGCGAGCGGATCATCGCAACACATCTAGATGGCGCTCAGACCGCCGCCAGGGGTTATGATGCCGCGGTGCGGATGTCGGGCCGGCTGGGATTGAGGGGAGAGATACGACGGGACGCGGGGAGAAGACGGCATGAAGGCCCAGGGAGGGGAAGAAGCAAGGTGCAGATGAAGGGCACAGGAGGAAGAGGAAAAACGAGACACGGAGAGGAAGAAAGGACGACATGCACAGAGCCAGGGAGGGCGCACAAGGAACGCAAAAATGAGGTGAACGCGGGGAGAACGAGAGGTAGCGATGGCATCGGGAAATACGGGGAAGGATCGAGGAGCAACAGCGAAGGCGCCGTGAATGGTATAAGAACTGGATGGGAGATCGACAAGGGACACGGAGAGGCGGTGCGACACAGCAGGAGAGTAAGAACAAAACTCCAGTTGCGATGACCAAAAATAAAGTCACGCGCACACAAAAGGAGCCACGGCACCGGTACCAAAACGGCGGAAGGCGGGCGGCGGACGTCATCCAGCGCGGTCGTAGCGGCCGTCGCGTTAGTCACAGCGTCGGCGGTGGCGCCACCTGGACGGCGCGGCCCGGCCGCCGATTCGTCGGCGCCGGTGGCGCCACCGCCGGCCGGCCGACCCAGTAGCAGACCGCCAGCCGGCCCCGCCCGGCCCGCGGAGCGAGGCCGTGTTAGTGTCGGTGCCACGCGGCCGCGCTCGCCTTCCGCGCGCTGCCTCGCGCCCATCCGGAGCAGTGTCTCTCGCCGCTAGGTCCGGCCCGCCGGCGCCGGTCGTCCGCCGGCCGGCCGAGCGCGGACCGCGTGCACGGCGCCTGGCCGCGCGCCAGCCGTGGGTTAGCGCCAGCCGGGGTCAGTCACGCCGCGCCACGCCACGCCGCGCCGCGCCGCGGCCGCCGCCGGTACCTGGTGTGACTGGGAGCGGCAGAGGCCGCCGCTGGCCAGGCCCGGCAGCAACACCTCGCCCACAAAACCTAGCGGCGCGCGGACGGGCGCCGTCATACAAGGGGACACGAGCACGGACGAGCGCCGGCAGACGGGCACCGCGCGGAACGCGGGAGTGCCGGCGGCCGCTCCAGGCCACGACGACGGCGCCGGTGATTCGCGACGCCGGCTCAACGGTCTCCGCGACGTCCACACACAAGCGCTACGAGCCCCGGTCAACACAACTCACAAGACGGGGCATACTGATTCCTAGAAACGAGCACGCCAGCTCATGTCTCCCCGCGCCCAGAAGGCCGCGGGATGTATACACACACACGACAGTGCGGACGTTCCGGAGGGCGAGGACTCCCGCCTGGCCCGTTCGGCGCGTCGGTCGGCATCTGGCGCGCCGCGCGGCTCATGGTACCGGGCTGAGTCAGCGCTCGCCTCGGCCAGACCCGGCTCGTGCCACCGGTCCCGCGCGACCCGCCGCGCCCGCCCCACACCTCCCGGCCCCGTACGGAAGGCCGCCAAATACGGGCGCCGCTGACTCAGGCGGCCGGATCGCGTCACAGATCGCGGGGTTCGCCAGCGGCCCGCGGCAGGCGGTCGCGACGACAGGTGACGGACACCTGGAGGGAGCTGACCGGCCACTCCCCCGCGTCGGAGCGCACCGGTCGGCCGCGCCGCACGAGCGTGCACTCACGGTTCTTGCTGGGGTAGATTTTGTAGCAGTTTGTGAGCGGCTCGGGCGGCGGCAGCTGCGACAGGCTGTGGAACCGGTCGGAGAACCGTCGCTCGTAGTCTGCGAACGCAGCGGTCGCGGTCAGCATCAGATTCCCGCGAGCGTCGGTGAGGCTCGGCGGCGCTGGCGACCGGCCGGCCGACACCAGCACACCGTGTTTACACGGGGGAAGGATGCGGGGTCTGTGATAAAAACACGGTGACATGCGACTGTGCTGCCGTCTCAACGGCAAAAGCATGTCGCGTTCGTCATGCTGAGTCCCGTTTCCCAATTCGGCACGCTGCGTGCCTCAGGCCAGCAGCCATTCCGTCCTGACCGTGGTGTTATCATGAGACATGTCTTGAGCTTAAAATACACCTATCAACTACGTAGCGTGCAAAGGGCGCGCTCGCTGACCCGTGCAATCGCCCTGCCGCACGGTCGCTCGCCGTCTGTGAGCTCAGCGAAACGCGTACGTGACCTTACGACCACCACTGGGCAGCTGTGATAAGTTGACTTAAACGGCAACCAGGCGCGATTGCCGCATGCCTCAAATTCGCAACCACTGGTCGCGAGCTAACCGAGGGGCCTCTGACGGCGTGAAGCGACCCGCCGGGAGCCCCGCCACCGGCGGAGCTGCGAGCACAAGGACTTGCAACCTTGAAAATGCCATTTTCGGGCGGGTCAACTTAATCCTTCCGTAGCAGAAATAGAAACTGACATTTCGAGCGGCAATCCCCGCGACGTATGGCCAATAAATAAGCAAGCTTCTACCAAATGTATGAGACCAATGGCCATCCTCTCCGAGCCTCCGATGGTGCGCAAGAACAGGCCATTCGGGCTGGTCTGGCGTGCCGAGAGCCAGCCTCACCTGTGGCGCCAGAGTTGGCGTTGAACGAGTTCCGGTGCTGGGCCGAGGACGAGAGTCGCTGCGGCGGCGGCGGCGGCGCGCGCCGGACGCGTGCGGGGGCGGCGGCGGCGGCGGCGGCGGCGGCGGCGGCGCAGGGGGCGGCGCCTGCGCCTGTAACACACGTCACAGCCTGAGTCTCGGCGGCGGCGGCGCGGGGGGGCGGCGCCTGCGCCTGTAACACACGTCACAGCCTGAGTCCCGGCGGCGGCGGCGCGGGGGGGCGGCGCCTGCGCCTGTAACACACGTCACAGCCTGAGTCTCGGCGGCGGCGGCGCGGGGGGCGGCGCCTGCGCCTGTAACACACGTCACAGCCTGAGTCTCGGCGGCGGCGGCTGGGACAGAACACGCCACAGTCTAACCTAAGACATCGAACAGAGCTCCACAGTTACCAGGACCACATCGAGGTACCCGCGAGTGCCACAGCACCGGGCAGGCGGCGGCTGCCGGCAGCGCCGCCACTGCACCCGCGCAGGATCCGCGAAGACAGCACGCGACCGCCCCGCCGGCTGCCGGTCGGGCCGCGCGGCGAGCACCGTAGAGCGTCACTCACCTGTCCGCCCTGCCGCACCTGGGACGGTGGCGGCGGCGGGCCGGCCCGGTGCGGCGGCAGCGGCGGCGCCGACGTCGGCACCGGCGGCGGCGGCTGCGACGGCGGCAGCGCGCGGCCCGGCGGCGGCGGCGGCCGCTCCGAGGGCGCGCGCAGCGGCCCGCGGCCGGGCGCGCGCTGCGTGCCGGCCGGCGGCGGCGGCGGCGGCGGCGGCGCCGTCCGCAGCGTGCCGCCCAGCCGCATGTCGTCCTGCGACTTGCGCTTCTCCTCGTCCTCGGAGAGATTGCCGCGTGCGCGCATGCTGTGCGCGCGCACCACGTGCGGCGGCTTGGCGCCGGGCGGCGGCGGAGGCGGCGGCGGCTGGCCGGGCAGGCTGGGCGGCCCGCTGCCCAGGCCCTGCACGGACGGCGACTTGGGCGGCGGCGGCGGCTTGATGGCGGGCGGCCGCAGCGGCGCCACCGCCGGCCTCGGGTTGAGCGCCGGCCGCACGGCGGGCGCGGTAAACTTGCGCCCCACCGTCGCCGTGCCGTTGGACACCTGTCGGCGGGCCAGACCGTCAGACGCGCCGCCACCTCTCTCCCCGCGCCGCCGCGTCACACACCGCCACCGCCACACCAACAACCGCTTCGACGGAGCACACACCCAACGGCGGCACAAGCTGCCAGAGCAGGCCGCATGGCGGACGTGTACAGACCAGGTAGGACCGGCCGGCGGCCGGCGGCGCCTGCGGCGCTTCCCGGCGCAGCGTCGACGACGAGTGGCTCGGCTTGAGGGCGACCCGCTGGCCGGGCTGCGGGCGGGCGGCGGGCGGTCAGCTGGCGGGCCGGCGCGGCGCCGCTGGCGGGGCTGGCAGCGGAGGCGGGCGACCGGGCGGGACCGGGGCAACAGCGGCCGGTAGCAGGACTAGGGGGCCTCCCTTACCATCTGAGGCGGCAGACGCCGCGGCGGTGGCCCCTCGGACAGGAGCGGAGGGCAGAGGACAGCAGCAGGACAGGGCGGAAGCGGTGGCGACCGGAGGAAGCCAGGTCACGGAGTTCGGTTGGTCAGTCACAGCAAGCAAGCGAACTGCGGCGAGCAATGTACACAATGCGTAACCCGAGAGCCGTCAACGAAATGGTATCCGGCACAGCGTCACAGCACAAAACCGAGCATGAGCAAAGAGAACCACACCGTGCACTACGTATAACGAGCGCAGACAAAATGCGACTAGCTAACTCTAGTTCATGGCAGCCGAGTCCCGTGTCGGCCGCGGCGGGCCAGCATCCAACACCCGGCGGACCCGGTCACCAGTCACCGGCTCAGCGGCCAGCGGCCCACCTGCGGACTGCTGGGCACGCTCCTGCTGGGCAGCTGGCCGGCCGACGCGCTGGGCTTGAGGCCGGGCGGCGGCGGCGGCGGCGCCTGCAGCGTGCGGTGCAGGCTGGACGAGTTGGGCGTGGCTAGCGGCGGCGCCTGCCGCGGCGGCGGCGGCGCGGCGGCCGGCGCGGCGGCCGGCACCGTCGGGTTCGACGGCCGCCGGTTGGGCGGAACCATGGCCGGGCCGCCGGCGCCTGGTGACGAGAGCACGAGCGGTCGCGTCAGGGCCGGCGTCTGACGCCCGCCGCACACAGCCACGGCGCCACGGCCGCCCACGCGCCCGGCGTAAACACGCCAGCCGGCAGCATAGTCGGCCCGCTCCACCCCTGGCATGGGGCACTGCAAAACGGCCGTTGGTGCACGCAAAACGCCTTTAAATGTTGATTCTTCCGGTCCGGCATACGAGTTAACGTCTGGCAACGAGGCCTATTATCGCGTTTTCCGGTCCTCGAAACGAGCCCAGAAATTCACATTTAACACACCGCTGACTCTCGACCCTGGAATGATCCGTAAACAGAGCATCACGACTCGTAAGCACCGCACATCATCATCGTGTTAGTCGACCGCCGGGCGGCGGGACCGCTGTGGCCCGGCTGGAGCTTCCAGCTCAGCAGAGCGGCGCTGCCGGCGGACGGCCGCCGGCCAGCAGCGGAGCCGGCCACGCCCGGCGCCGTCGCCCGGCCGCGCGGGGTCAGGGGCCACACCCACCGGGCTGCTGGCGGCCGCGGCCGAGGCCGGTGGGCCGCAGCTTGGGCACGCCGCCGGCGAACAGGCCGCCCAGGCCGGGCGGGCCGCCGCCGTTGACGGTGGGCGCGGCGCCGCCGCCGCCTCGTCCTCCGCCGCCGCCCCCTCGTCCTCCGCCGCCGCCGCCACCGCCGGACGGCTTCACAGACCCTGAGGGCGGCGCCGAGGGAGGTCAGAGGCCGCTGAGCCGACTCACAGCGGCGGGACAGCTCAGACGGGTCAGGGTCAGGTCAGGTCAAACAGCCGGACATCCGGCAACGGGCACGACATACGCATAAAGGCAGCGGCGTGCGTAATATAAACAAAAAACTCGCGATTCAACGCCAGACGAATACGCCAGGTTATAGCCCCAAATGACCGAGCCGCGTCTGGGCCAGCCGCGATTTGTTCGCTTCGGACGCAGCCATCCCGACGCCGTTCCTGTCGGACGGTCCCGGCGATCCGCCGAGAGCACCGCACAAGTCCAGCCCCGACACCGACTGGGACAAATGGCAGCAGACCGGCTGGCCGGATTTGGATTCCCGGAACGGTTTTGAACGGACGCAAAGCGGCCGGACACATGGCTCGGACTGATGTCCACCAGGCGGCTGCCCCCGCTAACGGACGCCGGCCCATCGCGTCACAGCCCGGACGCGCCCGACGCCACGGCAAGGAAAGCTGACCCGCGCTCGCTCCGACACGGCCCGGCGGCAAGTCGCTGATTCGGATCAGTTTCCCAGCCGGCCCAGGTGTTTTCCTCCCCAGCGGGTACGCAAAATCCTTCAGGCGGCGTGTCGCGGGCAATACTGGCCGGTTCCGACATCGCTGGCGCTCGGTCCCACGTCACCGCTGGCGCTCGGTCTCGCGTCATCGCTGGCGCTCGGTCTCGCGTCGGCGGCTGCGGCCGCGACGGTCTCGACTTCGGCTCGACACCCGCTCGCGCCGGCCGCCGACCGAGCGACGCGCGGCGCCGCCGCCGCCGCCGGCTGCGTCGGCATCAAGGTCAACGAGAGGGGGAGGGGCGGGGAGGCGTGCGGCGGTCCCGGCGCGGGGCGCGTGACCCGCGCTACCCAGGCCGCGCCGCCGCCCGCATCCGGGCAAGCGTCCGACTGGCGCCGCTGCCCGCTCGCAGGTCACGGCGTGCGCCTAACAAAGCGGCACACACCGCGCCGGCTCGGCCCGGTCACCGCAGCGGGCGCAGAGCTCCGGGGAACGGCCCAATCTGCTAGACCATCAGCAAGTAACACACAACCACGCGTGGGCTTTTGAACGCCTGCAACCCTCCGGTGGCCATTCGGATCCAGCATCGAAAAACAAACGAGCCAGGATATCGCGTGGTGACGATGCCGTGCGTAAACAAGCGAATCATCTAGGCTGTGAATACAACGGCGGCAGGCGACAACACCGTCCTAAGTGATCAGCATTCCCCTGGGGTCCAGCGGCGCCGGCGACGAGGCTCCGCCAGCGTCCAGCGTTGTGTGCTGGCCCAGCAGGACACGCTCAGCATAGCGTGCGGCCTAAGCCCGGGCGGCTTCAATAACAGCCCCGAGCTGATAAGCCGCTGCCGCAGCCAGCCGGGTCTGTCAGACGGCGGGGCGGCCGGCCGCGCGCGCGGCCGCCTCCCCGAGCGCGGCTGGCGACAGCTGGGTCGGCACGAGGACACCGAGCCATTCTGGAGTCAGTGCCCCTTGGGACAGGGACGGATTGAGCACGAGCTACTGAGTAACATGTCGAAGCCATGGGCGCCGGCCAGAGAGCACACGTAGGTTACCAATAGGGATATCATTTCAGCCGCCCGAAACTAATTTTTCACAGTCTGGTTTTTACAGGTTTATGCCGCCACAAACTCGCCGAAACTGGAAAAAACAGCAAAGATTGTCCTTTTCTCATCGCTTATCATTAAATTGTAATAACCTTGCTTTCTTTATGGCCAAGAAGCCAATGGCAGCAGCAGCCTGGTATCACGGTGGTGTGACCAAAATATATGATGGTTGCTACAACAGGCATCTATCATAACCCTTCGCCCATGACAGCGACCCATGCATATTTCCTACACAGCGCACCGCTGCTTCTGTCGCCCAGAAGTTGAGCTGTACGCACCGTCGTTAGGAGGCATGGATCCAATTTGCAGCAGTGAATTAATAGGTAACGGAGTCCAAATGCATCATCACAACTGACCCAGACTTTCTGTTTATTAAGAAGCAATTTAACACTGAAAATGAGTCGATACATGTGACAGAAACCGACAATACCGACTGGTGCCGCACTCATCGTACAGCAAACTGTTTTTCGTGCTTCATTTAACAGAAGGCACTTTCAGAATTGCAGTGTTTGCCTGTTCTTGTCCGTTTTCGCCACCAGGAGTTCCTGCTGGCGTTTGCAAACCTGTTCCAGCCGGCTGCATCCAACCCTGATCAACAAACGGACAATTACCGCGACCCCGCTCGGCGCAACAACGCACAGCAAGAAATCCGGAGACAATGTGAAATCCGCCTCCGCGGGCCTGGGCGAGCCCGTTAGTCCAGTGCCGGCCGTGGCTCGGCTTCGGGCCGCGGCCGGGGCGCACGCTCGAACAATGCGTCGGCTGCGGCTGATGATTCGGCGCGGGACCAGGCCGTCACGACGCGGCGACCGAGCCGGCTGACCGCAGCCCGGCCGGCGCCGGCTGACCGGAGACGGCCGCTGGGGAGGTGGGCCGTGGGTGCCGGCACCGGCCGAGGAGACAGAGCCGACCGGCCGGCGCCGGCTGACCGGAGACGGCCGCTGGGGAGGAGGGCCATGGGCGCCGGCACCGGCCGAGGAGACAGAGCCGACCGGCGCCGGCTGACCGGAGACGGCCGCTGGGGAGGTGGGCCGTGGGTGCCGGCACCGGCCGAGGAGACAGAGCCGACCGACCGGCGCCGGCTGACCGGAGACAGCCGCTGGGGAGGTGGGTCGTTGGTGCCGGCACCGGCCGAGCAGGCCGCGCGGCAGCAGACAGGGAGCGTCGACAGCGCATGATCCCACCGCGGGGCAAGACGAGCCGCCCGTGCCGTCACGGCCCGAGGAGCCGGCCGTGACGGCGGCAGGCGTGGGCGTGGGCGCCGGACTGGGGAGACGGCGGCGCGAGACGGACGGCTCGCAGCGGCGCCGCCCAGCCGGGGCGGTACTGAGACAGGCCGGTGCTCCCGAGGCGCCGGCCCACTGCTGACCCAGTGGCCAAGGCCGCGTGGACGTCGCATCTGCATACCCGCAGGCCAAGTCTGCAGCGGCGCCGCCGTGGTGGCAACGCCCCGAGCCTGCAGTCCCGCGCGGATCCCCGGTGCAAGCTTCGGCCTACGCCTGTTCACGCCCCCGCCCCCGGTTGGTTCCTTGTTTGGATCAGAGCCCTTTCGACCAGAAATGGTCATCTCAGGGCAATCCCTCACCCGAATTCGAGCTGAAAGCTAAACTTTCCCATGTTCAAGAGTCAGCAGCCGTTTTCACACAAGCTTGTCGCAAGAAATACTTTAAAATACTGGTGTCCAGGAAAAATGGTCTGTACGTACTAAAATTGGCTGAAACATTGCTGCAACCGAATTGCAATATCTCTTGACTGGAAATGATACCCGACCTCTTCCCAGAGCCCCAAACATCATTTTCAAATCCGTAGACCAAGTCCATGTGGACACAGCTGGCACGCCGACGGACACGGTACTACTACCAACACCGCTAGGCACACACCAGCTGCAGCTGGTCTCGTCTGGTCCGCCGGAAACGGACCGCACATGGTCTGCAGCCGGGCTCCTGTCGAGGCCGGCTGCAGACCACCCTCGCCTGCCGGCCGGGCTGCTGCCGGCAGCCCGGCTGGGTCAGCCCGGCGTCAGGTCAGCGAACGTCCCACCCTGAGCGGGGCCGCCAACTTCCGCCCGCCCGGCCCGCACCTGGGGTCACGTCCAGCCGGCCGCGGCCGGGCAGCCCGGCTGGGTCCGCGTTAGCCCGGCATCAGGTCAGCGGCCCGTCCCACCGGGGCGTGGTCGCCAACTTCCGCCGGCCCGACCCGCACCTGGGGTCACGTCCGGCCGGCCACGGCCGCGAGGTGACGTCCGGCGGCGCCGGCCGACCTGCCTGCACGCCGCATGGCACGGCGGCCGCAGCCCCGCCGCCGCCGCCGCAGCCGCCAGTCCCCACATCATCGTAGGTCGTGACCGCCACCCAAACATTGCGCTCCGGCGCCGTGCTCACCGCCCGTCGGCGCTCTCGCCCTCGCGCCCTCTATCGGAGAACAACTCACTGTGTGCGGTGGCATGAGTCAAGCGCGATCACCGGATGCCAACGCACCCGGGCGCCACCTGGCGCTGCATCGATGAGGTGTCGGCTCCTCGGCCAACGACGCACGTGGTGTGCCTGAGGCGGCTCCGCCACGCCGCCCGTTCCTCACGTATCCAGCGCGCACAGCTGCGAAAGAACGCCCGCACAGCGCCACCGCCGCCCAGCATGGCTCTATAATTTCGCGTCCCCAAAACAGCGCGGCTTGCGGCGCGTGCGGCTGCAAAGGCCGGCGTTTGCAGCGAGCCGCGCTGCAGTCGTCGGTCCGTCGGCCTCGCCGCGCCGCAGCCGCAGCCGCGCGCGTCACGCCCCCGCCGGCCGCCGCCGGGCTCCACATGCGCCAGTGTAGCCCCGAGGTCGTATCAGGACGAGCAAACAGCGGGCGGCGGCCGATATTTCCGGCGCCTATCGGCGGCGGCGGGGGCCGCCTGACACCGCCAGCTCGGTGGACCGGCGCGGCCGCCGCGCCAGCCGCCGGACAGCCTGGTGACGATCCACCGGCCGGTCCGAAGTCCAGAGCGGGGCGTGTCAACCCGGCGGATTATCTGTCGTGCGAGGGGTGGCACGCTCACGCCGGACAATGTGCTCTGACGTGCTGCGGCAGCGCGGAAGATGGCCGTCGGCCAGCGTAGATAGCGACGCTCAGCGCCCTCCCCCGGTCCGCGCCGCACGCGCGCCGCCAGTCCGAGCGTCACAGCCGGCTCTGTGTGGCGCCGAGTATCACACCCGGTCCGGCTCTGTGCGCCGCCGAGTGTGCCGGTCGGCTCTGTGAGCCGTGCGTGCCTGCCTTCGTGCCTGCCTTCACGGCCGCGGTCACCCCGACCGGAGCGCGGCCGGCCGCCGCCGCTCCAGTTCGAGCGCCGCCGGACGTCGCGCGCCCAGGCTCGCCCGACGCGGCCGGCAGAGGCGGCGGGGACATCCCGGCGCGGCTGGGCCTCCGCAGACCGGTCGGCCGCCCCGGCGCCGAGGCTACCCTGATGCTGAGAGGAGGTCGCCTGCCACCGAGACCCAGACCAGGCGCATCGCTCGTCTTGCAGTGCCACTACCAGCAGTACTGACGCCGCTGCCTCTGTTTGATTCGTTGTGTAGCAATGTGGCTCTACGCAAGCTACAAACGGCAAACTTCATGACCAGTTGAGGGTCAACTCACATGCAATCTGGGAGATCTGGTTACGATAGGAAATTCAATACCAAATGTGTCCAAATCCTTCAACCAAGCAACCTCGTCACCCAGTCACCCACCAACCCTTCGTGCTATGTGGGTGACAACCACATGTTTCTGCCCCCTCCCCCGCGCACATTGTGCAGCCCAGCATCTTTGCTAAAACCGGCGCAAAAAAAGACAGAAGACACTCAGCTAGTGTCATTTGCCAGGCGCGGTAGGCGGAGGCGGGCGTGAGCATGACCCTATAGGCGATAGGGTTGCGAATCATCAATCCCGTAGCAGCATCCGACAGCTGCGACCACGTCGCCTGCCAGTCCGGTGGACCCGTCAGACCCCACTGTAACGCTATCGTCTGTCAGCGCCGTCTGCCGGTGCGGTGCCCAGGTCCGGCTCGGAGAGCGACGCGCCGGGGCGGCGGTGTTGTCCGCCGGCGCGTGCACCCGCCGCAGCTCGGCGCCAGGCCGCGCTATCGCTCCACAGCGTTGTCGTTTGCCGGTCTGGTGGCCCGCTCGGTCCCCGCAGCAGCGCCGCCGTCTGGCGGCGGCGGCGGCGTCCGCCGGAGCGGCGGCCCTGCCGAGCCCGGCGGCGGCGCCAACGCGCGGCGGCGTCGGCGCCGCTGGTAACTGGCGTGCGCACGTGCAGCGGCAGAGTGGGCCGCCCCGCCCCGGACCGGCCGTCACCCGGTGTGACGCGCCGTGACGACCGCGCCGTGACACCCGCCGTCGGCGCCGCGCGGACCGGGCGGCGCTGAGCGGCGCCGCGCGGCCGGCGGACGCCGCGCCAAGGTCGCCGCCGGAGGTCGGCACACCCAACCAACATCAACACAGCCAGACGCGCTTCTTACGGTTTTTGCAGCCAGCGCGACGGCGGTGCCGGCCAGGCAATGCTCGTCTGCTGATGACACCAGCTCTGAGCGAGACCGAGGTCGTGCCAGGGGCGCTGTAACCCCTAAAATATCGGACTCCATAGCGGGATTTTCTCACAGCTGGACACAGCCAACTATCGTGCTGCATGACTTGCGATGTCCGTGCTGTAAACAAGGTGTCTCGGTGTCTCGAATCTTAAAAGAGCGACGGGAACTACCGTAACACCATAATGATTCGCCTCATGTCTCCAGACCAAAAACACACCTTTTTACGCAGAAAAGTGTTATTTTTACATCCTCCTCCACCGCCTCATTGATTTGTGAGCGCAACAGCGCCTCACTTCAAACATATTTGTGGGAGAACGGGGAGCTGCGAATGTGCTCGAATGCGCATGCTAATGCCCTCACATCTTCGTCCACTAGCAAAATAAATAACACCCCGTCGCAGGCATCGGTCCGTGCGGCCCGTCCAGACACCCCCGACCCGTACCCTCCACGCCGCCGGAACCCCGCCTTAATTTGTCTGCAGACTGGGCGGCGGCCTGGTAACACAGGGCAGGCGCTGTCAGCCGGAGGCGCGCACCCCACCGCGAAGACGCCGCATCAACACAGCGCCGCCTCCCCTCACACGATCAGAGCTCAAGCCAAGGCTGGCGGGAGCCGAACCTCGCTGACACTCTCCGCGGCCGCCAGCGACCCGTGTCTGATGCTTCGGTGGCGCGGTTTGGCGCGTCAGACCGGCGCAAACAGACAGTGATCCACACCTGCCTCAGGGCATCGCCGCACAACATTTTGGTGACCGCCGCTGAAGCAGCAGGCGCTCCCCACGAGGCCGGGAAACAGTCAGAGCGCGGCCGATTCATGAACTAGATCACACGCTACGGGCCTCACAAGCATAACGCTATCTTGGTTTTAGGCCCGACTTCTCCACGGATGAGGGAGAAAACATGCTGGAGAGAAGTCATCACCCAAATATAGTCAAAGCAATGTTTTTGAGCTGTTCGATCGCAGTATCCACCACAATTGACGAAAAACATCACTCACCGCCCCGCCCCACCCCGCCAGCCACCTGACGCCGGCTCCCAGGCCACGACCGGTCTGTGCGTGCTTCTCTCCACCCGCGGGCGGGGACGGGCGGCTCGCGCGGCGAGTGGGAGAGAAAACGGCACCTACGCAGCTGCCCGGCGACGGCCCTGCCCGGCCAGAGAGCGTCCGACCGACACACGGCTGCGCCCTTCGAACGTCGCTCCGGCGCCGGACGACGCGGCGCGCCGCTTATCCGGGCCGTTTACACTGTGCGAACGATGACACGGAAAACACTGACCCACAAACACGGCCGGCACATACAAACGCTGGCGGCCGTTTCGACAGACCGGCGGAGGCAGCCGGCGAAGACCAGGATGACAGACGTCCTTCCACGGACCCACGCTCCCAGCGCGCGGCCAGGGCGTGGCGCCCGCCGCCAGGCGCCTCCGCTCAGCGGGCGGCACCTCACAACGAGCCGCGTCGGAGTCCGCCACTGGCCTCTGAGCGGCGTCAGGGCCGTCGTCAGATTCTGGCCGGCGCCAGAGCCCACCATTGAACGCTACGTCGCGCCGTGGTCGACAATGACCACTCAGCGGCGTCAGGGTCCGCCGGCCAGCCATGAGCGGCGTCAGCGGTCGGCTCGGTGCCCACTTACCCACTAACGGCGCGCTGCGGTCGTTCGTCTGCACCTTCTTCAGCTTGGCGCCGCGATGGATGTCGCCGAGCAGCGCGGCACGGTCGACGCCGCCGCTCTTGGCGGCCGGCCTGCGCGGCCCGCCGGCCGGCGGCGGCGGCGGCGCGGGCGGCGGCGGCGGGGGCATGGCGGCCGCCGGCTCCGAGCCTGTCGCACAGGGGGCGCGTCGTCAGCGGCGGCGGCCGGCGGCGAGACGCGTCGGTACATCAGGCCGCCACACATGCTGTCCGTCAACTCGTCACGCAGTGAGTCCGTCAATGCGTCGCATAGTGAGTCCGTCAATCCGTCACATCTGCAGTCCGCCAATCTCTCACACAGTAAGCCAGCCAATCCGTCACACGGTAAGTCCGTCGATCCCTCACACAGTAAGCCAGCCAATCCGTCACACAGTCAGTCCTCCAATCCGTCACACTCCGCGGCCGGCGGAGCGACGCGGCTCGAGCCGCCCGGCCAGACTCGACACCCGGTCGATGCAGTTACTAACCGTCACACACAACACGGTACATCACCGGCACGACGGCCAGTCATTCCTGGATGGCGATGTTGCCCTCAACACTTTGTCCTGGATGATGTTTGGACACCAGCTTCTTTCAAACACACCAAAGGTTGGCAGAACATAGGACATGCCTACTGTAAGGCGTGCTCGTGTCCATATAACATTTTCCGTGATTTAAACGTTACGAATGATCTTTGTATTGGACTTGCAGACCACTGATATTCCATGTTCAAAACATTTTGTAAATGCCACTTCTAATTAACCCGGCTGCATACGTAATATAATGATGATACCGTACGACGTGCTGTGACAACGCACATGCAAGGTAGTGAGATATACTACCGAGCCTGTGGCACCATACAGTTAAATGGACTAAGTCAGTTAGATACAAACACCTAGCTGGCGTTTGTACCTAGCTGAAACTACCTAAAACTACTTAGCTGGTAGCCATGTCAACAGCAAGTACAATTTTCAGGACATGGACTTTGTTCGGAAATGTTTGTAAGACGGACCGATCTCCGACAAACGAAACGCGATAACGCTTAGGCGATAAAAACGTCATTTGTTTTCGTTTCACCAAATTTGAAAGGTCAACCATAGCACTAACTCAAGATAACAGAGAAAATGTTGTTGATTATTGATAAACCCTGGGATTTCAATTCATGCACCCATTTACTGGGCGTGGACTGCAGAATCGGAAGAGCTCGTAGCATTGCCAAGGTTATCATATTGTGGTTATCATATCATATTATAGTTATCATATCATAATGGTGAAATGTGATCATAGAATGCCACCATGCAATGCCCATGCTAACCTCCCATGCATAGTCCACACCCTTTCTAAAGGTTGCCAGACCAAGATTGATTGCTGTGGCCGGTTCTAAGACTGGTGGCTAGCCGCGTAGCCGACCTTGTGACAGAGCAGTAGCTGGTGAATGGCATGTGAGTATGAATGACATCCTGTTACGCCGCAAAAAGGAATCTTGAAACAAGAGTCGGTAATCAGGGCACTAATGACTTTTCAATAAAGCAAACAGTTTGTTTCTTGAGTCTAACATCTTTCCATTGCTTTTTCCACCAGTCTTTCTCCATTATGCAGCAAATATCTGGCAGGATTAAGTTTTGTGCAGATGTTAAAAAACTGAAAAAGTTTGAGGTTAAATATAAGAAAACACCTTGTGCAATTAACCCAGAGCCTCAATGTATCCTGAATTGTGATCAAGTAGTTACCTAAGTGGATTTATGCATCCCATCTGCACAGTTTGAACCTGTGTGCACATATTTTCCCCAGTTCCGCATCCTTTCAGAGGCAGCTAGCCTGCTTAGCTAGCTACCCTATGGACAAAAACTGCACATACTTACACAGTCCAAAAGGGCATCATATCATCATGCAAAGGGGCCATCACACCATTTTCGCACAATGGGTGGTTTGCTCACCCTGGTGTCTGACATGGCTACCATTGTGACAGCCATGGGGAGCAGCAGCATCATGGTGAGTGCTGCATGGGTGAGGGTAAGTAGTGTGCTGCCATGACATCATCAGTTGCCAATACAAATGGTTTGCAAGCTGTGCCAAGAGGTGTGCAGAAATCATCTGATTGGACAAGAGTTGACAGCATCAGTGCAATAGAGACCCTACAATCACTCACAGGATGACAGGATCTGCCTACATAATTGCAACATGTGTCTTTCTTCCTTGGTCACTGCTGAAATATGGTTTATGTTAAGAAATGAAATAACAATGACTATGTCCCTGACATTCCCTGACATTCCCATTCCCAATCCCTGACATTGGTTTATAAACTAAGAGTAATACACAGCCTATCGCCATCTTGATTTCTTAGCATTGGATAAGGAACACAATGGCATATACTTACATTTGCCTTTCTTCCAAGTTCAAACAAACATTGCAAATGATGCTTAAAGAGTACATTAATGTGTAATTGTGCTTAGCATGTGAGAATACTGTTCCTGTACTTCAGTCTTCATTGTTTGCCTGCCTCCAGACTGGGTGGGCATATAAACATCCACACTTGCAGCTGTGGCAGTTTACTATAGCTGTCTGTGGTCAGGGCACAATTTGGACAGGTCATGCATTTTTCTGTTGGAGTTGCCTGTTTCATCCATGGTTACCAGAAAGCAAATCTCTTTTTCATTGTTAACACTAAACTTTAAAGTTATTATCAAATATTAATAAGGCTTAAGGGCTTCACAAAATTTTACATTAGAGAAGGATATATAGACTTCACCAAATTTTAGGCTGGAGAAGGATAGAAACAGTTGGTGATACAATTCAAAAAGCCAAACTATGCCCTGATGACATTTCCGGCTTTCTTTCTTAAATAGCAGCATCGACTATGATGCTGGCACAATTCCTCCTGATGCCATGGTCTAGGCCTAAGGTGACAGTAAAACATGAAGCAAAAATTGTGCAGTCCACTGCTCATGTTTTTGTTTCAGGTGCTGGATTTGAGAACAAATACTTAACATCATATGAAACAAGACAACAAGAAAAACAGAGGGTCTCAAAAATGATTAAAACTCATACAATATAATCCAAACATCCCTTGTTTTTGATGGACTATATCTGTTATTCAAAATTTACAGAAAATGGTCCAATTAATGCCATATCATCTCAAAGGGAGTATCCAAGTCAAACTCTTCCTGCCAGCACAGCCTTCATTTGACTCACAAATGCACTTGCAAACTATCTGAGTTATTCCAAGGTACTGGATGTATCTAGTCTGACAATTAAAAACACAGCATAATGATGTTGATACACATTAAAATACATGTCATCACTCCCATTTCTGTCACAAACTTTTTTACAACACTGCCATGCCCTGCAGACCCCTTGATATGTCAGCATTCATACAAAAGAAGCTTTCTCACAAAGAGGTAAGTCAAACCCTTTTAGGTAATGAGCTTCAGGGTATAAAAAATCACCTCCTGTCTCATGTGCTAAATGAGTTGCACTCACACAACCATTTACATCAGGGACTGGAAGACCTGATAATTGCACAACATTTGTTACTACTTATGTTTGATATACAACTCTGCCACTGCAGAATATGCAATATAATCATAGTTCAAATTCATGTTTAGCCCAAGCTGCCCTTTTATGCATGGCTACACATAAGTGGTGATTATTAGAGTACTGGTAATAAGCATTCCTACCATGCAGAGTCTGCAAACTAACAAAGGGTATTTCAGTCCAATATCTCCTATACAATCATATATGTGGTAAGACCAACTGATGATGAAACAACAATGAAAGCTTACATGCTGGAAACATGCACTTGTTTACCAGTAAATCACCAACCAAGCTTAGCCAGCATCTGGAAGTGTGGTGAATTAGTCTAAATTTAGAGACTTGTTATCACACAAAGTATTACTTGAGAGGAATAGCAATAAGATCATGATGAATCTTCATGAAGGAGATGTTCCTATTCCAACAGAACATCTGAATTTATTACAACCCTGCCTTGATAGGTACATGCCATCCTGCCTTTTATGATGCTACCTATGTCAGCACACTGTACCCAATAGCTGACATCAGCTCCCTAGAGTTGCAGTTTCTGGTTGCTCTGGTTAGCATTATAATAGATAGCTTCCAACTCTACTGGGGACATCAAAACATCAAGGAAGTGTTGGGGGAGTAGAAGTAAATGTAGAGGAACCTGCCCAGAAAAGACAACCCCATATTGTGGTGAGTGTATGTGTGGAGAGCAATAATGAATAATGTTGGAATCATCACTCCTGCATTATAACACTTTAAACAAAGCAGCATTTTATTAGTTATCACCAAAGAAAGAAAGTCATAAAACACGGAACTTGAGAGACAAGCAGCTGGTATCAGTCAGGAATAAAGCACATATTGTTGTTGGCAAATATGGCTATCAGGCTGCCCTGATAAGGGAGCCTGATGAGCAGGGGAGGGAACACCCTTTCAACATGATCCTCTCAAACATCACTACAGGCCCAAAATCAAACTTCCACATAAACTTGGAGGGCCAGTGTACAATTCCTGTCCCTACAATGATAACCATTTTCGCCAACCACTTCAGACCGATGAAGTTAATGAGTCGCAACGCGTTGACCCATAGGTGGACAGGAAACGCGTGAAATTGTGGTGCGCCCGAGAGGAACTCGAATGACGCAAAGCGGAGGTCGAATAGAAACACCACGTACCTCTTACCTCAAATTAGACCGTCCGTGCACGTTGGAAAGTAACAGAATCCCGCCCAGTATTCATGTAAAGACGCCGTTTCCTACCACTCCAACAATCGCCTGGCCTGGGTACCACACCACTCGCCGCATGAATCACTTTGAGGTTTGCAAGGATGTGATATTCCTGCAAGTGGGATTCACAGAAAGTTTGTTGTGGCAAAAACTAAGCAGCAATAACCAATCAGCTACATATGACGTCAGTTCGCAATACAGGCTCCTCTTTCACTATTTGCTACCACACTATCTCAATTAGGAACATCTCGCGGCTCTTAGGAGTATTTGGCGTGAACAACTTACGTTTTATAGCACGGTAGATAGAATCTATCGTAATTTTATCGTCGTACGAATCATCAGGGAGCATTCACGAGTTGTGTTTCGCCCATTCGTCTGCCCATTCCAGCTTGCTCCGATCAGCAATACATTGACATGCGTGGAACAAGAAATCGCTCGAATTTCTAAAACGCTGCAATAAACAATAATCAGTTAAGTGTACAAATTTGTTCCGTTAATGCGAGCTGTTAAGCTTTTTAAGGATTTGCGCTATAAATGAGTTGTATAAATATGTAGTTAAATAAACTTAATTCTTCCCTTTAACCTACGTAACATAAGACAAGTGATTTTTAGTATCTTATCGTTTCAAATCATTGTACGAAATAAACATTGGACATTGTATTCACCGAAACAAACGACACTTCACGTCTAAAAAACAGCTAAAATAGCATGTTTAGTCCAGCTATCTATCCTTAAAGCAAATCTCAAAGTTGTTATTTTGCGCATGATGTTCGCTCAAAGGACAGACAAACCAGGCCTTTAGTACTCGTCCGAAATACATGATTATATTCAACCTTGACCAGGGTCACAGGATTGATGGTGCAGTGGTTGGATCTGCGTTTGCGCCAGACTGTTTTTAAGTAATAATAATCCGAGTTATAATCATAAGCTTAGTGGCATAAGATACTGTAGAGAATACGCTTTCAATTGTATCTCCGCTGTGTTAAGCAGAAAGGCAGAGGCGATGTCTGGAAAACGAGTGAAGAGGAAGGCTCCAGTAAGTGTATCAAGCTGAAATAATGAGGCGGCCGATTCTTGCAGCCTTTCATCCAAGTTTCATCCAAGCCAAGTACATCTGGCTGATTCATAGGAAATTATGCCGACTCCACAATGGTTTACTGTAAGAAGGCAGATGTCTACAGCACATTTTCACGTGCTTTTATATTCCTCTCTACCAGCTGTTGACTTCATCTCATAGATATGCAACATCTTGGCAATAATATAGCTATATATTGTGCCAGAACAGCACAGCAAAACAAGCATCATTGCATCACTTTAGGTCATACACCCTGTCTACATGGGTGGCTGGTATAGTTTGAATTTAGGCAGGGATAACTTGACATGATAACCAGGCATGAAAGAGGTCATTGGTGAGAGCTGCAATAGCATAGGTGGAGACAAGGCAGGCTGGTTGAGTGATGGGAGACATGTTGATGAAGAGCTTTAAATGCAGCATGATACACAGCTGTCCATGTAAACCATACCTTACCTTACCTTATGGCAATCAGGAATTATAAAAGGTCACTATGCTTGTTGGTCCAGGTCTTGTGATGCTCTCAGTCCAGTAACTAAACAGTCATAATTATGGATAGATTCAGTGTGGAATAAGTGATGTCACCCAGTGCATATGAGGCCTAGACTTGAAATGTTAAACTAAGGCTGACAATGTGACAGGTGTGAAATGGCAGAGTTCCAACTGTTTACAACCTGTCTGCTGAACATGTCATGAGGGACAAGAGACATAGTTTTTCTCAGCCTTCATTGGTGTGGTCTTGTGATTTCCCAGGTGTGTCTTGTCAAGAACTCCTCTTCCACAGCTACCTCCATAAAACAGCTGATACATTAACTATGTCTATCCTGTGACAACAGCAGCACCTTCAGTAAGGGCAGCTGAGCCTCTTGGGGTACAAGGTTAATGGGGTGATAGTGTTATTGTCTATATTTGCTTGCTCAGGGCTTTTTTAATAGTGGTAATGTATAGTAAAGTGTATTAATAATAAAGTAAGTAATGATTATCATTTTAGATAATTAAGACTGACACCATCTGGCCTCCATGTACAGGAGTGACAAATAGATGAACAGGAATGCCTGGCTAATGCCATAAATGACTAATAAGGTGTTCAATAACATGTATTGTGCTGAACTGTTTAATTGATTCATAGAAATATACTATTCACTCCCTTCTTACAAAGCTTTTCTTGCCCTCCATTTTAACACATTACTTACATGATAATAATCTTGATATATTTTTATGATTTTTGTTCTAAATTTATAAAATCTTAGTCTTGTCTCTCCACTACTTTGCTACTCCTTCTAGTCTATTGCTGTGACATAGACTAGTTCTCATCTGCATGTCCAGGCAGGACTGCAATTGCAGCATGCTGTGCATTACTGTATGCTCCTGGGACTGTCTTGAAGATGTACTCCTGAGAGATCTGCATGAACTGCCTTTGCTCAGAATACTACACCTTGGAGACCTACACCTGGAAGACATAGTCCATGTCCATGCCCTCCATGTCCAGAAGACCCATGCCAGGAAGATGTACTCCCAGAACATCTGTGCTCAGAAGAGCCGCTGACTGTCTCTGTGCAAGCCTACTCTTTTATTCATGCATCTGGTCATGAAGTTGATTTTTCAATCAGCAGGAGGCTCCGGCACACATTGGACGGCCAGAGCAGGAGAGGACTGACGGGTGGTCTGAAAAACCAACTGGGCACCCCAGCGATCTTGGAGGTCCACATGGTGTATAATGGCGAGGCAGAGTTATGCGGGATGAACTCGTGTGAACCCATCTCCCTCCATGAAAGAAAATGTGGCTTGCGTGAAATCACAGGTTCATAGATTGGCCGGAGACCTCACCAGTTAGCAGAAAATGGCAGTAAGTCTTCTGTGTAGGCATTTCGGGAGCGTACCTTCGGACGTAGGTCCTCCGAGCATAGGTATTCACAGCAGTAGCTTATCTGAGAGCAGGTCTGCCAGGTGAAGATATTGACAGCAATAGGTTATCCGAGCGTAGGTACTCACAGCAGTGGGTTATCCGAGAGTAGGTATGCCAGGTGTAGCTGCTCACAGCAATAGGTCTCTCTAGCATAGGTATTTCCAGACCAAATGGCGCTGGTAATGCAGTGGGTAAGCTGCGTGTCTGGGAAACCAAAGATACGGGGTTCGATTCCCCGCGTTAACCTCCCCTTCTGCTAGGGTGAGAGGTCGGCATCGCTTTATAGCCTCAGCACCTGAGTCCGTCGTAAAAAAAAACAAGAAGAACGCATTCTAACGGTAGATTCTCCAGGTAGGATGTCTTCCGGACGTATGTAAGTCCAGAAATAGACTTTCCGAGCTTATATGTTATGACTCAACATGGATAATCGCATTAGTAGGCATTCCGGCAGCAGGCCTTCACGGTGTGTATCTTCTGGAAGCAGGCCTTCAGGGTGTGTATCTTCTGGCAGCAGGCCTTCAGGGTGTGTATCTTCTGGAAGCAGGTTTTTGGGAGTGGATCTTCTACGAGTGGGTCCTCCGAGTGTGGTTCTTGGAGTAGGTCCTCCGAGTGTGGATCTTGGAGTAGGTCTTCCACGAGTAGGTCCTCCGAATGTGGATCTTGGAGTAGGTCTTCCACGAGTAGGTCCTCCGAGTGTGGATCTCGGAGTAGGTCTTTCACGAGAAGGTCCTCCGAATGTGGATCTTGGAGTAGGTCTTCCACGAGAAGGTCCTCCGAATGTGGATCTTTGAGTAGGTCTTCCACGAGTAGATCCTCCGAGTATGGATCTTACGGGACCAGGCCTTCCAGGTGCAGGTCTTCTGGGAGAATGTCTTCTTGGATTAAGTCTTCCGAGTCTTTCTGATTGCAGTGTCTTGAAAGCTCTGATACAATGTGTGGCATTGTGAGAAAATATCTGAAAGTAACGTTGGAATGGTTGGTTGGTCTGGTTTAGAAGACGCCAGACCGGACCACATGAAAGGGGGTGTTCCACATTTATGTGGGGTTTTGGACTGAAATAGCTATTTTGGAGACATTTTGGTGCTGTTAACAATCCTGTCCTTAAGCACTAAGCCCCCCTAGTTTTTGAGCTACACGCCCGTCAAAATGGCGAAAGGTATATGGGAGAGAGTATTTCAACCACCTTGGCACTCACGACGTCATAATAGCGTCATTCAAATCCTGTCGTTCCACAAGCCATGCTGTGGTCGAGGCCAAACAAATTATGATTGTTTGGGCATTCGTAATTGGCATTCGTGAGCGCGATTTCCAGATAAAACGACCGTCAATGGACTCTGAATTAATGTTGTGCAAGGTGCGATGACGTCTTCAAAAATGTACCAATAGTTAATGGTAAGCTTGTCTTATCATATCTGATGCATGCTTCAATATCTTCAAATGTAAAACATTCCCTTTAACACACACTTATATGCAAATTTGGTTATGATAGCTAAAAATCAATATTTTCGTGACCTAAGAGCCTTGTCAGCTGTCAAGAAGCAAAAATGTTCGCAATTTCTGACACTTAGAACTGCCTAAACATGCATGTTTGTCTGAGCTGGCAATAATCTGTACCTGCAAATGAGGAAGCTGTAGTTTGACCTGGGCTGCTATACCAAGAGCTATCACGTCAGAATCCCAACATCATTCTCTGTCCCTGTACTGGTGGCTGTGTTGTGTGTAACTCACATTTGTTTCACAGGAGCCACCTCCTGTGGAGAAGCCCTCCAAGGACGAGTATGCTGTTGCCAAGTACCTACGAAATAACGTGCCGTGTAAGAAGACGAAGTTCATGTACCATCCCGTGCAGTACTTCACCGCTGCGCGAGCCGTGGACGCCCTGCTCGACTCCCCATGGGCATCGGGAGAGAAGAAGCACCAGATTATTTTCACAGACAGGCAGTCTGTGGTTGATTACCTGGACCTGTAAGTGGCTGTCTGCTACAGCTTATTTAGTCTGCTCACAAATGGACATTTTCGAAAGGTCCCATACTGAGTGTCATTGTGGGTAGTAAGTGGTTTGGGCTGCCGCAATAGCGAGCCATGGCCCCATTGTCAATCTGGTAGCTATGTGTTCATGAGCGTTTTAACTTGTGCATTGTTAAGTGTTTTTATTGCTGACATCCTAACAATATGGCACTCCTTGATGTCTAACCATACAGATCTGTTTTGAAGAGGCACACCTGATCATATAAGTGACTACCAGTTCCATCTAATCCACACACCCACATGAACCCCACATTGACCTCTGCTTAGGGCCTGTTCACCTGTAGTTAATGGAGTAATGTGGCCATCACTGCTCTCAGAATGTTCATCAACAGCATTGTGTATGGGTGGAATGCAAGGCTAAATTGGCCGAGAGATGATTCTCCACATCGACTGTGGGCCGTTGGTTCAGAAGCTTCCACATTCAAGGCAGCTGCTCGACGGGTTCGCCTCGGGCTGTGCAGCAACCGCTGCTCTGAGGTCCCCATTTGGAGGCAAAACAAATAATCCCATTGTTGTCGGTTCACAGAATGCTGCGTCACAAGTTCTTCCATAGGGCGAAGAAAATCGCGATCACTGACAGGGATCTGAGGAGAAAGGAACTGAAGAAGCTCAAGAAGAAAGAGGAGGAGGACAGAAAGAAGAAGACGAAGGATGAGAGTGAGAGTGATTCGGGAGAAGAGGACGAGAAGGGGTCAAAACAAGAGCGAGATGGCGAGAAAAGCAACGCTGAGGAGACAGCTGGAGAGAAGAGTGCGGTTGAGGGCGAGAAATCTCCTAAAGCAAAAAAGAAAAAGGTAATTTGGGCGTCAATATTCAGAATGTGCCCATGCAGCTATAAAATATATACTTAATGCATTGCATATACTCCTGCATATATATATATATATATATATATATATATATATATATATATATATAATATGTAAGTTACATCTCAGAGAGGTGCCAAGCATAGTTGGGAAACTAACCATGCCTGTGATAAGGCAGTCTGTGACTACCCCAAGAGGCTCAGCGGCGGACGGACTGAGGAAGCTGGCGCGGGAAAGTTTCGCGCCAGAAATTGAATATTTTTCGCTTGAACTGTTGGCACCAGCCCAGATGCGTCCGCACTGATCTGTTGGCGCCGTGATATGGCTGGTATCAACTTTCGTTGCACCCAGTATAGGCCAACATGTTCAGTACGGGAACGACCGTAAAATGACTTGTGTAGAACTGCCACAATACTGCAGATTTCAGTGCTGCTACGGTGAAATGTTGCCCATGTGTGGTTTATTTGTCCAAGTGTTTTTGATCGCAGGAGCTGGTGTATGCAGGCCTGCTAAGAAGGCTGGTACCGCTACGGGCTTATTGGCTATTTTATTGCCAGGGAAACCGTCTTTCCATTGCGTCTGTTTCTACTGCGTGGTTTGTCTCCAAGCTTCCTTAACTGCTTCGACGCCGTGGCCAGTTTCACGAACTGCTGCATAGACGCAGGCAAGATTTGCTTAAGAGTTAGGGGCTTAGCTCAGTCAGCGCTCATCCTAAGGGGACCGAAGGAGCCGTCCGTGGCGCTGAAGTAGAACAAGCCGATCTAAGGCGGGCGGGCCGTCCTTCCCTGGTTGTGCCTCCGCTCGGCTTCCCCCACCCCTCAGGCGCGGCCCGCTGCCTCTTGCCTGCGGCCTCGCTCGCGGGCGTGCGCGGCCGGCGCGTGACGCCTCTGACGGCCTCGCAGGAGGAGACGGACAAGCCGAAGCGGCGCGTCAAACTCGACATGCACCTGGAGCAGGTGTTCGTGGACGGGACGGACGCGTACGTCTGGATCTACGAGCCCATCCCCACCCACTACTGGCTGCTGGGCGCCCTCCTGGTGGCCGGCATCGTGGCCGTCTGCCTGTTCCCGCTGTGGCCCAGCAAAGTCAGGTCAGTCTGGTCTGCTCGCCACCGGCCAGCGGGCTCAGCTCACCCGCTGTGGCCCAGCAGGGTCAGGTCAGTGGGCGTGCTGGTCTGCTCGCCGCTGGCCAGCGGGGTCAGCTCGCCCGCTGTGGCCCAGCAAAGTCAGGTCAGTCGGGTCTGCTCACCGCTGACCAGCGGGGTTAGCTCGTCCGCTGTGGTCCAGCAAAGTCAGGTCAGTCTGGTCTGCTCACCACCGGCCAGCGGAGTCAGCTTGCCCGCTGTGGCCCAGCAAAGTCAGGTCAGTCGGGTCTGCTCACCACCGCCCAGCGGGGTCAGCTCACCCACTGTGGCCTAGCGGGGACCTGGGCGCACTTGCTACAGCTGGGGAGGCTCGGGCGAGACCAGCAGGCCCACTGTAGCGCAGCCGGGTCAGGTCTGACCGGAGAGGGACCAAGCCGGGTCACACTGGCAGCTCACATCTAGCCAGGCGCTGGCGGACGCCGAGTAGTTCCTGGTGTCCAGCCATCCGTCTAGGCAAACGTGCCGCTGCCAGCCGGGTCAGGTCATCCGCCCAACGTTGGCCCGGTGGTCTCGTCGTTCAGGGACCTCGCGTGACATAGTCCAGCCTTCAGCAAAGCTGGTCACAAGTTGCGCAGCATCATGGTAAACACCGGACTGACGTAGTAAGGTCTGGCCAAGCCTCTGATTGGGATGTCTGGAGTGTAGCGCTCTGGACGGCATCCCGGATAAATGGGAGTAAATGGGACCTTGCCTTGAGGCGATGTTTCATGGTGACCATGTCGCTTACCCGCCACTGCCTTCGCCGCCGTGGGATCGTGCTCGTGCGCTCCCTGGCTTCTGTTGTCGCTGCCGTTGCTGCTGCCGCTGCCGTCGCTGTTGCCGCTGACGCTGCCGCTGCCGTCGGCAGGGAGGGCGTGTACTACCTGTCGCTTGCGGCGGCCGGCTTCCTCGTCTTCATCCTGGCGCTGTCTGTGATCCGGGTGGTCGTGTTCGCTCTCGTCTGGCTGGTCACCATGGGCAAGCACCACCTCTGGCTGCTGCCCAACCTGACCGAGGACGTCAGCTTCTTCGCCTCGTTCTGGCCACTGTACCAGGTCGGTGGGCGATCGGCGGTCGGCAGCGTCATGTGTGGACTGCCTACCGCGTGCGTTGTCGCCAGGTGTGCGGGATCGATGTTGGCATCGCCGTCCGCCGTATGTTTTGTGCTAGTCTGCCCAGTTCACGCCGGAGCATTCCCAAAAATGGAGGCTTTTGGTGCAAACGGTTGTGTCGTGGCCGTGGCTCAGTCGCGCCAGGTTTTGTGGGGCTGATCCAAGATGATGTTTTCTTGTAGATACTCCCTGGCCGTGGGCTGCTTTCGAAGTGTGTGGAAATGCAGCGAACTGGTGCAACGCCCATACGGTGGGCAGACCGTGTGGTGCAATGGGCTGAAAGCCATGAACTTTTAATGGCTCGTTCGTGTGATCCATTATGAACCCTACTCCTCTTCCACCCAGCTCAAATCCCCTGCCACTTTTGACTGATGTTAGTCGCTGCCTGGTCTCTGCAGTACGAGTACAAGGGACCAAAGGAGGATAAGAAGAAGGAGAAGCGAAAGAAGAAGAAAGACCAGCCGGAGGCGGCGCCGGACGCTCCGGCCGAGCCTCAGGACACGGCCCCTGGCCAGCCGGCCGCCGAACAGGAGGCCGAGGAGCGAGCTGACGTGGCCGAGCCGGCCGACAGCGAGCTGCCGTGAGTACGGCCGGCCGCTGAGCGCGCGGAGCCGGCGGCCGGCGCGCGTTGGCTCGCGTGGTTCAGCTGAGGGGAGCCGGCGGCCGGCGCGCGCTGGCTTACGTGGTTCAGCTGAGGGGGAGCCGGCGGCCGGCGCGCGCTGGCCCGTGTGGCTCAGCTGAGGGGAGCCGAGGGAGCCGGCGGCCGGCGCGCGCTGGCTCGTGTGGTTCAGCTGAGGGGAGCCGGCGGCCGGCGCGCGCTGGCTCGCGTGGTTCAACTGAGGGGAGCCGCGGGAGCCGGCGGCCGGCGCGCGCTGGCTCGTGTGGTTCAGCTGAGGGGAGCCGAGGGAGCCGGCGGCCGGCGTGCGCTGGCTCGTGTGGTTCAGCTTAGGGGAGCCGGCGGCCGGCGCGCGCTGGCTCGCGTGTTCAACTGAGGGAGAGGCGCGGGAGCCGGCGGCTGGCGCGTGCTGGCTCGCGCGGTTCAGCTGAGCGGAAGCCGCGGGACGCACGCCGGGACTAGTTCGAGGCGTAACGCGTCTGTCGATTCAGGTAGCCATCTGGACCAATAGCGTCCCTGCCGATGTGGGTCGATGAAGTTAATATGCGTCCGGCCGCCGCCCTGGCGACGGAAGGTCAAACTAATTCGATGCCCGGCACAAACGGTGCGGGGCGGCTGCCCGTGTTGCGCGATTCATTGCGCTCAGGCGTGACGGTTCAGATTTGTCGCCAGTGTCGAGCCCTGCTTCAACCTGAGCCCATGGGGCCGCGTTTCCAGCTGGGACTCTATCTTGTCCAGCGCAGGGCCTCCCAAGTATCGAATCGCGTGACTGCTGCTGTTTCAGACGGGAGAGTGTGATTAGTTCAGAAAGCCCCCACGGCCACCACGGTCGATGGTTACACAGTTCCGCCCTTGAAAAGTCGAGGTTGTATCACCTTTGGATGGTGCCACAAAAGAACTGTACAGGACATTTGAGCTGCTGCACATTCACAATCTTTGTTCGAGGTTAAACACATGAACGTCGTCTTTGTGTCTTGGTGTTGGCAAACGTTGCTTGGATCATAAACGTTAACAAATAATTGTCTCGTCATTGTGGCTAATACTGATATCCGCTGGCAAGTTTCTTCCGCTCCTTATCCTTGGTACGGGTCACCGAACCTGTCGGCTTAGCCGGCTTTATTTGGACCAGCGGCGGCGCCGACCGGCCGCTGTATGACGACATACAGCGGCCGGTCGGCGTCCGGTGCCCGACGTAGACTGCCCCGGCTCCTGCCACCGTCTGCGGGCCTTCCGGTGCGGATAGCTACAGAGCCAGGCTTTAAACAGACAGTCCGATGGCAGATTTGTGATCTGTGTCTGCAGGTCGATGACATCAAGGTAGGAACGGAAAATCGGTCATTGCTTATTTCCCGCAACAGGAAAGGAACGGAAGCCTTTTTTCGGCAGAGAAAGCCGCGCTTGACACAACGGTCATCACAGATCGATTAGGAATGCCTCATCTCTGTGATCACTGGCCAAGTAAAGTAAAAGTGAGTTGAGCAAGTAATGCTTTCTTGCCTACCACTTGAGCTTGCTGTTTTTGTCCCTGTCGCCTTTAAGCCTTCCGTGATTTTGACATGGCTCCACGTGTTCATGTCGTCATTCATTGGAGAACGACCCTTATGTAGTTCGCCTTTCAGCCGTTTGCCTTTTTGGCAAACGGGCGTCGATGTTTTGCTTTGGTACGTCGATGACGTTGATGTTTTGTCACGTGACCATTCAGCGGTTCGCCATGTAATCATTCGATATTCTGGCGCGTTGAATTGTGATATGTCGTCTTTTTGCAGTTGGCCGTCAAGCCGCTCGCCATCTTGGCACGTCGCTATTTTGCAGTCCGTCATTGAGCCGAATCGACTTTTTGGCACGTTGCTTTTTTAATGTAGCCAATATAGAAGTCGTCATATCGCAGTCAACAAAAAGGCATTCGGCAAATTGCGAGGCAGCGTTTTTTTTTCTGAACGCTGTTTCATGCAGTCCCTAGCGTACTACCGCGTATCGGATGTTGGGACGTGGGAGTCCGAATTATCGGATATATCCGTATTGTTTTATTGGCTGTCGTTCCACAGAATCGGAACGTTTCTGTATGCCACGCGCTCTGTTTTAAATGTCGTTCTTCCGGCCAACTTTATTCACTTGTGACCATGGACACAGCTCCAAAGCGTCCGAATTTTTCATCACAACTAATGTTTGCTTGATGGTGTCGTTTAACCAGTGCTACAGGGATCCTGTATTTTCATTACTTTCAGTCGACAAACACCATATCATAGTGCCGAGAACCTAGGAGCCCAAGGATCTTAGTTTCTTGGCTTTTAGGTTTTGTGTATATCTATTTTCAACGACATGTGACACGAGGAAGTGTACCTGGGTCACACAAATCACAATATAAGCCGATGCTGTTCACCGAATTTGAAGTTTTTTACCGGTCAAAACGGTTAACAGCACTGCTTCACATCCAGTATGGCCGCCAACATCAATGCTCCGGCCAGTGATCGATCCCAGCAGGTGTCGGGAAGGGTGCAACTAATTAACCGCAATGCAGTGCGAACTGGCCTGGCTCGCTGGTCTGGTTCAAGTTTGTGTTATTCGTCTGAGGTATTCTCGGAGGTTCCGCTGAATTGTTGCAAAGGAATTGCTTGCTTTTATTTAAAGGCAGTCAGAACTCTTATTCTTTGCATTTCCAAAAGCAGTTAGCTTACTAAGCTTACTGCACAAATACGGTTGTAGGTGGATGACCCGAAGTAAGTGCCGTAAGTTCTCCCTGGTATTAATGTGCAAGAAGTCCGATGGGGATAATCGTTGAAAAATCAATTTCAAACGAAAATTACAAACAGCTGAGCCCGAATTTCAGAAGCGTAATTTACCGTCCGAAGAGGACACACTTGAGCTAGTTTGCAACGTGTACAGTTAAATTCTAGAGCATAAGATAGCACTCCACTTCCAAGTTGAAGTCCAATTTGTAAACATCTCCCAGGTGCTTTCCGGTAGCGTAGTGCTTGAGAAACCAGAGTCTGGGTGCGATTCCCCGCCGTGCTCGCCCTTCCTGCCATGGTGAGAGGCGGGCGCCGCCGCGCAGCCACGACTGCTTGGTCCGTCGTAAAGCTCCAATGACGAGCAGCCTCCAGGAATACGCTTGTTTATGTTTTCCCCGCTTAGTAGAAGTCGGCTTATTCAGATGCGCTCTATCGTATCGCTCAGTTGAGCCCCAAGTCACGCTCAATCTGATTCTGTTTGGTCCTGCGGAGCTGAAGCATGCCGCTCCGGCCACGCCGCCAACAAGAGTATCTGAGAAATCAGGCGGCTCGTGCTTCCAACCGCCCCGCTGTGACGTCTTTGCCCTGCGTTCCGCCATGAGACGGATGAGCGGGGCCGGAGGGCGGTGAGCCGCGACCAGCCCTCTCTGTGTGACAGTCACTGTCCATGCTCCGAAGTGAGGCTGAGGAACGGAGAGTCAGGGGAACTGAGAGTAGCCGGCCGCCGACCAGCCCTCTGTGTGTGACGTCATTGTTCATGCTCAGTGGTGAGACCGAGGAGCGGAGAGTAACCAACCGCCGACCAGCCCCCTGTGTGTGACATCACCGTCCTGTGCTCCGCAACGAGGCTGTGGAGCAGAGAGCAGCCAACCGCCGACCAGCCCCCTGTGCGTGACGTCACTGTCCTGTGTTCCGCAGTGAGGCTGAGGATCAGAGAGCAGCCAACCGCCGACCAGCCCTCTGTGTGACGTCACTGTCCTGTGCTCCGCAGTGGGGCTGAGGAGCAGAGAGCGGCCAACCGCCGACCAGCCCCCTGTGTGTGACGTCACTGTCCTGTGTTCCGCAGTGAGGCTGAGGATCAGAGAGCAGCCAACCGCCGACCAGCCCCCTGTGTGTGACGTCACTGTCCTGTGTTCCGCAGTGAGGCTGAGGATCAGAGGGTGTGACGTCACCGTCCTATGTTCCGCAGTGAGGCTGAGGATCAGAGGGAGTCAGAGGGCGGATCGGAGGGCAGTCAGCACTCGACCAGCACGTTTGAGATCTTGGACAAGGAAGAGGAAGGCGAGGAGACCTCGTAATGGCCGCTCATCTCAGTTCAGCTCAGCTTTGCTTCGGTGGGCCGCTGTCGCCGTAGCCCACCGTACGATGTGTGAATCGGTTGTTACCAGTTATGCAGGTGTTGCAGTTGGGAGCGTAGCGCGACGAAATATTTATCCACAGGTAAATGCTGTGTTGACTTTGAGTGTTTTAAATTGTGTGCAGCGGCGCGGTCTGGCAATGGCCATGGTTTTCAGACAAGCGGTAGCAGAATGTGACGAGTCGTGAGTATGGTAGTTTAAATTATGCGACCTACAGCTGCGCTATGTGTCAAGCGGTTGAGACCTGCGCCGTGTAATGTATGGTGGTAAGTGCACCAAGCAGCGTAAGAAACTTTGCGCGCTTGGAATAATCCGGCCGCGGGTCGCCGCGCGCCCGGGCAGCGCTGGGCGGCCCGTCCGGCCCGGAGACAGGAGCCGGTGCTGACGCGGCGCTGTCGCCGACGGCTCCGCCGTGACCCGGCCGGCTGACCCGCGTCACGCCGCCGCAAAAAGGCGCGTCTGGCGGCAGGCGGACCGTGCCCGGCGCGTCTGTGGTCGAGCCGATCGGCCGCCTCGGACACCCCCGGCTGGGCTGCGGCCGCCGCGCCGCCCGGCCAGACCCAGCGTCGACCGTCGGCTTGTGCAGGGTCTTTGACGTCGGGCGGCGCGGCCCCTCACGCGTCTGGCGGGGAAGTGACGTCACGGCGCGGATGGGGATTGGCCGTCTGGAGCCGGATCCGGGCGGGTCCAGCTGTACATAGACTGATACAGACCTGTCCGACGGAAAACACGGCCCAGCCTCGGTAAGGCTAGGTGCGGTTATTTATTTTACATATTAAGTATCTGGAAGCCGTTCGCCTTGATCTTTCGCGTATCCAGGAAGCGGCGTAAATAGTGGGCTGCCCCCGTGCGGAGGCTTAATTGTTCTACGTATGGAACGGTCCCGCGCAAGCTAGCCGGAACGGAGTCACAACCAGCCGCCTCCTTCGTTGGCCGGCTCGGCTGCAAGGCCGACACCTGGCAGGGCTCTGCACCGACGGAGGCGCGTTGCCGTGTTATTTTTGTATGTTAGGTTCTGGCCAGTGTTCCGACTGCGGTGAGTGGGATAAAGCGCAGGGTGAATATATTGTTCTGGTTTTACAGCTCATATCTCTCGGCTCTAAAGGGTTGCTTGTTCGCATGTCGTGTTGATGCGCAAATTGACGTGTCGGTATATTCTGTTAATGGCTTTCCAGTGTGCACTAGGAGCATTGTAATGCTTGTCAAACTGTCAATTTTGAACTTACTGATGGCACACCTGGCTCCGTATTTTTATAACTCACTTAATGAAAACACCAGAAATATATGTTGCTTTGACAAAATATGACGTAAGCGTTTTGATAGCTCGCTGAACGCTGGGCAGAGGCGTTCAAGTGGCGTCATGCGGCGCATTCGTCTGCCTTCACCGTCAGTGGGATCAGATTCGGGCGCGTGGTGGTGGGTCAATGTGTTCATTAGTCCGCCTGAAGCCGGCCATTCAAAGAACCGGCCGTGATTCTCCGATGACTATCTCGAGGACTAGTGACCTCATGAGGCTGCCTGCCGCGCATGCCGTCTGGAACGCCGGTCCGCTGGCCGTGCTGAGGGCACCTGTTGGGCACCTGTTCTCGGAGCTTGTGCCGCCGCGAGCCTCGGCGCCGCCGCTCCAGCTCCGTGGTTGACACGGGCGGCCGTCACAGCTGCCGTCGACCGCGCGACGTACCGCTGCAGCCGGCCTCTGACCGGCCACCGCCCGGTCAGACCGCCAGACCGCCCAGTTAGATTGCCAGACCGACTGGTCAGGCCGTCAGACCGCCCGGTCAGACCGCCAGACAGCCCGGTCAGACTGCCAAGACGCCCGGTCAGACCGCCGGACCGCCCGGTCAGACCGCCAGACCGCCAGACCGCTCGGTTAGACCGCCAGACCTCCCGACCGCCGCCCGCCCGGCGTCAGTGGGTACCAGGCCGGCGGTGTGGAGCTGGAGCGGGTTCGCACGTGAGTCGGCCGGGCCCCTGAGCCGTCGCCGGGTGGGCGGGCGGGAGCCTGCCGAGGGCCCCGTCGGTACCGCGTGCTGGCTGGCTCGGTACTAGGATCGACGCCTCAGCTGCATCGTCTGCGGGGCCCCTGGCGGGGCTCTAAAGGCCCTCACGGGTGAGGCTTGTTTATGCAATGGTTGCAATAACGGGGTTGTTCGGCGTACTTGCCTTTTGCCGCTCCGGGTGTGCCGTGCCGACGTTCCCGTGACTCGCCCGTTTACTCTTCTCAGCCTGTTCCCCTTGCATGAAAGACGAGATCCAAGAGAGCTGTGATATGTGATCTGACTCACCGCCTTCCCCACCGGACATTATGTAATGTCCGCACCGTCTGGCACCGATGCGGGTAATGCTCGCAGAGTTCACAACACCCGGCCGACAACCCGCTCACCAGTGACACCCCGACGTGTAAACCTGACCCGCGAGGCCCCCGGGCGCACCGCACGACCCGGCCGCTGTGCGCGAGCGGCGCGCCGCCGCCGCTGAGCGCTGCACCAACACGCGTCGCTGATTGGCTGGCGGTGATGACGCCGGCTCCGCCGTAGACGGCCCGTCTGCGGCGCACTGTAGCGGCGCGCGGCGACGACGGGCGGGATGGTGTCTGCGGCGGGTCGAGTGGTACGGGCGGCGACGCTGTTCTGCTGGCTGCGGCTGGGCCTCTTCCAGCCGGCGCCCGACTACGCGGGCGCCATCTTGTCGCTGGAGACGCTGCCGCCGTCGGAGAGCGAGTCGGAGCCGACGGCCGTCGTGGGCGACGAGGAGTGGCTGCTCAGGTAGGCGCTGGCCAGGAGCGTACCGCGGGGCGGCTGCCGTCGTCGAGGCGGCTGGAACAAGCGCGCCAGGTGTCCTCGTGCTTGCAGCGCTCGGTTTGTGACATTGTGACCCAAGCCAGCTTGTGTGGTGTCGGCGGTTTGAACAATGCGACGCCTACTGAGGTGCCCCCCTCCCTTTCTGCCATGTGTTTGCTAGGGTTGCCATAAAATTGACGTGGCTGCTGGGTCACCTAACGTCCGCAGACCGAACGATGTGCGGAATGAACATGCGTAATCTACAAACTGTAAGCTCTTGTACCTATAATGTAAGCATAAGCCATATATAGGCTGGGGAAAGTTCCACACAAATGCTGGCCGACTATGACTTCACAACAAAATGCGTAGTGATATCAAGATTGTCGGATAGGCGGGAGTGTAACTTGAAACTGAATCGTGAGCAACCAGTCGTAACCAAACAGGTCGGTTGGTTGTGTTCCAAGAGGAGGTGAGGGCTGGCCCTGTCCCATCATACTCTTTCGATGGCAAGTTCCAAGCAACTCCAAAAGAAAATTTTGAGCAAGCAGCCAGTCCCCTGAAACCTCATGGCCATTCCTAATTGCATCATGTCCCGAGGTTTTGAGGGCATAGGTTAGCGGGTAATCTAGGTCTTGCTATTGGGAGGAAGCTCTCCCGACATTTGCCGTCTTTTTGCACATGTTTATGTCTGCATAATTAGTTTTCCCTTTCTTATTCATATGTCATTGACAGTGCAAATAGAACATGTACGTGTACAAAGTATGTGCTAACACCAATCAGATTGTCGGCGACTGTCCCAGGGCAGCCAACGCTTGTAAAACATCAGGGGGCAATCCTAAGAGTGACTGCATTGTTAGATTCTGCAGTCATGATAGAAAATCTAAAAGTCTATTTCGTATTGCTGTTGTCGCCTCAGATACATTATTGGACCAGCATATGGAAATGTATGCGTTGTTAAGTACGCCATAACATAGCGATGTAGTTTATGTGGACCAGTGATCAGTCTTGGGTGGGCAACAAAGGTAAATTTGCGACAGAACGTCAACTGGGTTTGTTGAGCAATTGGGTATAATGGAGCGTGCAGTAATTAACACACGCTCTGGTGGGGCCCAAACTAACACCTTCCCGAAGGTTTTTCCGGAATGATTTCCGAACGGCGGGGCGCAGCCGCGTCAAATTTTGTGTGGCTGTAGATGATTGGATGGCGGATCGTGTGGTATCAAAAAGACAGGTGTGCTTCATAAGTTCACTGACCTACGGCAGGTCAAAGTCAAGCCATGGATTCAGCGAAGTTAATTTGTAGGGATCCGTTCAACTTGATGCAAGATCGGAGTGTCAGACGAAGCCATACATCTCTGAGATTCTTAGGCAACACAACAATTGGATGAGTAAAATCAATTGATCTGGGGTCAGGTGTGAAGGTCAGACCAGATCAAAACCAACCTGCTTTATTACTCTAGGCATGCTCCATGAGGTAGTTTCCGGTGCTCATTTCGAACTTATTGATAACAGGAACTGCATAATACATCTTCCATGAACTTCATAAAGGTCAAAATAGGCTACTGACCTAGAATGTCCCAGGTCCACATTTTGTTTTAAGGAACATATTGCCTAGCGTAATATTTGTCCCTTATTGAAATGCAAAACTCAAAGCAATCCCGTATGATTTTGGTCACCAAGACCTTCAAAAGGTCAAACAAGGTCATTGACTTTTAATGAGCATGCATCCTTTTGCTTAGAGAGGGTATCTTGGTTCTGGGGGCTCTTTAGAGACGAACCTGGAGTTTAACATTGTTTGACCTTATTCAACCCCAAGGTCATGACCTAGGAACCTCAAACTTTGACACAAGTAAATTCACGTACAGGTCAACACACCCTGTGATTTCATTGTATCTAGATCTTTTAGTTTCTGAGATCTCAGGGGGTCAAATTAGCCCCCATCCGAGCGAAAGGCATCCAACCGGTTACCCAGGCGCGTGTTAAACCACATTTGTCACATGGCAACATAGTCAGATGCCTGGGATGTTTGTTTATTGTCCCACCCTCTGGAACGTTCTTTTCACATCAGGCCGTTCTGTTTTAAGATAACGAATGATATTACCAATAATCCGTTGCGGGGAGAACATCGGACCAGTGATTATCGAGATAGCGGGGATGGCTCTCCTGCCTAAAGGTCACAGCACCGCATCTAGTCACGTGTTGAACGGGGCCAATGGCCGCCCTAAATGAAAACCACGAAAAAGTGGCATGTTCCCTTTAAACGGATAAATATTATGCATCGACATTGGCAAATATGTTCAACCGCTCGTGATTGTGAACAGGTATAATTATTTTGAGGTGATTTAAAACCGAGCCTTAATTCCCTCTTGTAAAACATTACGATGCAATCAGCATTTCTTCATTGACTTATCGAATGCAATATTCAATGCAATACTATTGGTAATCCTTTCGTTTCAACCGTAGCGAAGCATGGTTGAATAAAAAAGTTGTTCGAGTTTTGATGCCTTTGTTTTGATGTCTTATGAGCGTGCTAGATGCTGTACGATTTTGGCACGAAAAAGCGCATTTTCCTTCAACTAAGCGAGATGGTTTGCCTCAGCGACTCGACCCATTCAGTCACGAGTTTCAGAAACCGCGGGGAAATGAAACTCCATACCTCTGGGACAGGACTACATCGTTGCAACCACTGATCGTTCTGAGTTTTGACATGCAGTTTTCAGTAATGAGTAGGAGAATGAAAATTGTGCGGTAATCTTCCCGGGACATCTGTTGACTGCGCAACCGGGGCTTTCCCGCAGCATTGCAATATCACCGCAGCTGATAAGTAAATTAGGTCAAAACCAGCTCCAGATATTGGCAAACTGACTTGGCACCGATACCACCTCAGCGCACCCTGGCGGAGGAGAGCTCGGACGATAGCACCGGTACACGTATGGGCCGTCGTGTGCCACCGATCGCTTGCTTCCATGCACAAATCATTGACTCATCCGCTTTTTGCGAGGGCGATTGCCATCGGATCTCAGTAACCAGAGCGGATGGAGACACAAAATGAACTGTGCAGTGAAGGTGAGTATTCCGTCTGGGAATCGCTGGGTGGTCCCAACGCTGTCCAGCCCGTAGGTGTGCTGGCAACCGACCAGAAAGCGGCAAGTATCATTTGTTTTCCGAAACTGGGTTCGAAGACAACACCCTGCAGTCTGAACGTCGACACTGCGTGTCATGACGACGGTATGGGTCTGTGACCCGTTTATCATGACGATACTCGTCCGAAATAGTTACGGATTTTGTTGTAATTAATTTGTCAAAACTGCCAAGCACGAAACCATCCCATCTATAACTTAATCATGGACCATATTAATGCGTGCAGGGCCTCGAAGGCTACGGGCTCCGTTTACTTATGTGTTATCATAATTTACAGGAGCATGACATTCAGAACGTCATCAGCCCTCACATTCCACTGCGCAGAAGGCATCCTTCTAGGCTCTAAGATTAGGGTGATTTAACACGTCCCCTATGATAAACAACTGGATTACATGTTTCTCTACTTTACTTTAAATATTCTGGATGACGGGGCGTTGCAATACGGATTGCAGTGTGAAAGCTGAAATCTCAATAACAATCCAGTTCTTCCCACCATTCTTTACGAGGAAAGACATGGGCTCGATCTCATTGTAGTTGCACATTGTTGATTCTAAGAGTGAAATGAAACGGATTAGTGCATTGAATTGCTGGCTCGCACACTGTATCACGGGCGTAACGTGTAAACGTGTGCACTTTACCGGACTAACCGTCTATGCAATTCAAAGGAGAGGCGACGAACACGATTCTTGGCTTCTTTTTGACGTCCGCAAACGTTTGCGTGCTCCTTGTCACGTATACATTGGCGTTTTCATGGCACCCCACTTTTCATGGCACCCCATTGGCGTTGTCATGGCAACCACACCGTCAGTCACACAGATGCATACAACATGAAGGTAAGAGCATGGGCGTAGTTTCGCCATATGCAAAGTGAGTGGGTGGGGCTGGAGGTGTGAGGATGAGTAGTGAAAAATGACAGAACCTATTTCCAAACCACGTCAATAAACCGGTGTATCCCCGCGTTTGACCTTTTTCATCTTTAAGTGGGGAGGTGGCGGGGGGGGGGGGGGCTCAAGCCCCCGCAAATAAATAGAAACTTCCTCCCCCCCCCCCCCCCCCCCCTGTGTCAGACGCTGATCGATCGACGTTGTCACGATCTCTGCCGAGACACGCCTGCGCACGGTCTCTGCACACGCCTACGTACGGTCTCTGCACATGCTTGCATAAGGCCTCTGCACACGCCTGCGTACGGCCTCTGCACATGCCTGCATACGGCCTCTGCACAGGCCTGCAAACGGCTTCTGCACACGTGGAGGCTGTCCTGACCTCTCGAGCTCGCTTCTCACAGGAGCGTCTCCGTGACCCGGTGCAAGGCCGTGCCCTCGAGCTGGGTCATCGCAGCAATAGGGTCTTTTTAGATGAAGGCCATGTCAGCGAACCTAGTGCCGTTGTCTCTAGCCACATTGCGCTAATTCCAAGATCTTTAAAAAAATAAATTAGTTTGAACCGCTTGGATGAATATATTTTGGGTATTAGCACTCCTGCCAAGCAGTGTTTGTTGCGCGAGCCCTGGCCCCACGATCCAGTCGTGAAACTCCAGGTCAACGGCAGAACTTTACGACGAAAAATTACCATACCGCAATGCTCGGCACGGTCTGCCCTCCTCTCTGACGTCACTCGACCTTTAACGCGCCCACTGCCATCGGCCACATCTCACGCCAGCCGGAGGCAAATAGCGAGCACGCCTGAAGCACCCCGAACCCAGCCCGCTAAGGGGAGGTGAATTATAGTGCAGATGCGTCAACCACCTGAGGTGCGGGGACGTGCTAATGCACGTTAAAGACATTTCCGTGCACAGAATAGCGCACAGCGCGTCCGCCATTCAAAGGTGCCTGTTTGCCCTTTTG